GGAAAAGCCTATGTGGGGATTTCATGTACTGTTCTAGCACTTTTTTAATAAGTTTGAAATTATAGAAAAATTCAGAAGTTAAAGAAAATATGGTGGGAAAGACTTGGCTTACACTTCGCAAAGAAAGATGGGGACATGCAGGTCTCTTCCATCGAGGACCACTGGGTGCTGGGTGTGATCTGTGGCCTCGCTGCTGGCAGTGGACACCCTTGGTGGCTCCTCACTGGCCTCAGAGCCACGTGGCACGGACTACCTTGGGGTTGTGCCTGGTGTCTCCCTCAGAAGCGCAACGTGCTGTGGCTGCGAGCTCTGAAATCTCAAGGCCCAGTCCTGCCATCTGCATTTGTTGGGGAAGAGATGGAGCTGGTAGCAATTACTGGAAAATATATTGATCTCTTTCTTTAGTTTTACTCAGATAAAAACAATTACATAGAGAAAGCAAAGGGGAAAAAAATTGCTGTACAACTTAGACTAATTGAAAGAAAAATGTAGTTATTTAAAAATTTAACCAAGTTAAAAGAGATCAGATATTCTAGAATTCTCTTTAGAAAGACGCCAGATGTTATGCAGCGCTTGCAGGAGCCGCAAGGCCAGAGGCCAGCAGTAAGAAGCTACATCATTCCTGCTGTGGTCTTCAGAGGAGTGGATTTTAGGAGGGAAAGACTGCAAGGAGAAATCTAAATATCAAAAGTAAATGAACAAGTCATCCACATTATAAGAAAGAAAAATTTCCAAGGACAAAACTGGACACTCATCTATGACTAGTGGCTTCTCCAAGCAGAGCAGGATGTGTCTGGAGGGTTGGACTTCTTCTGAAAGGAGGACTTTTTACTTCTCCCTACTCAGCTCGTCTCTTCAAAAATAATTTACTTAGGCAGCTGCTGTTTCTTGGGAGATTATACTTTTGCTCAAATGGCAGCTTTATAGAATTTTTTAAAAACAAAATACTGATACCATATGAAACATTTTGATGAGATCATGTACCATCTACTTACATAGGAGTCTTACAGGAGTTTTTTCAGCCAGCCTGCAAACATTGCCCGAGCCAAGCCTAATGTTTGGATGAACTGACTGCTGCCGGATACACAGGAATTCGCTGGTGTCTGGAATTTGCAGGGGAGTTTCTTTTGTATGCAATTTTTGCAGTGGAACTAGAGCCCTTGCTTGTTTGCCGTGCTGATTCCACATATATGCAGCATTTCTGATTCATTTATAAACACTTGTCAACAGAGATTTGAATCGTGGTGGTGCTGGATCGGAGAAATAAAAAGGACAAACTAGCAGAGCGGACTCACTCATGTGAACAAGGAGTCTATTAACTGATTTATTTATAAGGCTAGGAGGCAGAAGACAGTTGCCTTTCAAATTGTGTCACTACAATAGCCATTTTTATCTCCTGTAGTCTGTGTGTGTATAATTTAGTTTTCCTTCATAAATTATCCTTTCTATCTTTAGTTTTTCCCAAAAGTTTGTACTAGTCAAATGGAATAACAACCCTTACATATAATAATAGGGGAGGACTATATGAATTTTAAAAGATGCCCTTCAATGAGTTCCACTTAAATGAGTGAAATTAATGTACGTGGAGTGCAAGAAGGTTTGGCCCTTAATAAACACAAAGTATTATTCTTAAAAAAGATCACTATTTAAATAGCTTAGAGCTTTTCTAAGAAAAAAAAGAAAAACACTCCATGAAGACAACCATGCTATTTCTTGTGATTAGTAGATTTTATTCCTGATACTGGGAAAGGCAACAACAGACATTAAGGAAGATCTTAGAAAAGATGCTAGGGTGTGTGAGGAGATGTAACCCTGGGGCCGGGGG